GGAAATAATACACAAAAGGAGAGCTGCTTTCCCTTAAAAATAAAACAAAACCCTTATGGGACCATGGATGTATATGCAGTCGGACATTGCCCAAATGGACGTTATGCACCACTTGACTGCACATAATTTTAAATATTCTTCTACAAAACAAAGGCATTTGACTGTGTGGATAATAACAAATAATGGATACGATTTCAAAGAATGGGAATTCCAAAACACTTAATTGTGCTCATGCAAAACCTGTACATACACCTACAGGCAGTCATTCAAACAGAACAAGGGGCTACTGTGTGGTTTAAAATCAGGAAAGGTGTGCATCAGGCAGGGCTAGATTAAGGCATGTAAAGACCCTAAACACTGATGATCTGTGGTACCTCCTCTTTTGCTTACTCACACATTCCAATGGGATATATGAGTTATACACATACATATATATGTGTGTATGTGTGTGTCTTAACTATCTATAATGTAACTTCTTTTTAAATGTGACTATAATATTAGTGATTGAATACAAAGGTGAAGTATGCCATTTTAGTGGAATGAGATGAACTGCTGCTGCTATCAATTTCATTTAGTTCCCTTCCACTGCAGTGCCCGCTTTCCTTGTGTCCTATCTGCTTGGCATCTATAGGTCTTTGCTTTGGACAAATGGTGCCTGTCCTGTTGATGCCCTCAGCACACCTTGCTTACTGGGCAGTCCATCCCCGGCGTCAGGGTTGTATCCTTTTACTATACTTATTCAATCTGTATGCTGAGTAGATAATCCGAGAAGCTGGACTATATGAAGAAGAACAAGGCAGCAGGATTGGAGGAAGACTCATTAACAACCTGTGATATGCTGAAGGCACAACTTTTCTTGCTGAAAGCGAAGAGGACTTGAAGCACTTACCAATGAAGATCAGAGACTACAGCCTTCAGTACGGATTACACCTCAACATAAAGAAAACAAAAATCCTCACACCTGGACCAATAAGCAACATTATGATAAACAGAGAAAAGATTAAAGTTGTCAAGGATTTCATTTTACTTGGAACCACAATCAACACCCATGGAAGCAGCAGTCAAGAAATCAAACAATTATTGCATTGGGTAAATTGCAAAAGACCTCTTCAAAGCGTTAAAAAGCAAAGATGTCACTTTGAGGACATGACCCAAGCCATGGTATTTTCAAGCACCTCATAAGCATGTGAAACCTGGACAATGAATAAAGGAGACTGAAGAAGAATTGATGCCCTTGAATTATGGTGTTGGCAAAAAATATTGAATATACCATGGACTGCCAGAAGAACAAACAAATCTGTCTTGGAAGAAGTACAGCCAGAATGCTCCTTAGAAGCAAGGATGGCAAGAGTTCGTCTCATGTACTTTGGACATGTTATCAGGAGGGACCAGTCGCTGGAAAAGGACATCATGCTTGGTAAAGTAGAGGGTCAGTGAAAAAGAGGAAGACCCTCAATGAGACGGACTGACATAGTGGTTGCAACAATGGGTTCATACATAGCAATGAGTGTGAGCATGGTGCAGGACAGGGCAGTGTTTCATTTTGTTGTACACAGGGTTGGTATGAGTCTTAACCAACCTGACGGCACCTAACAACAACAACATGGACTGCCAGAAGAACAAATAAACCTATCTTGGAAGAAGTATAGCCAGAATGCTCCTTAGAAGCAAGGATGGCAAGACTTCTTCTCACATACTTTGGACATGTTGTCAGGAGGGACCAGTCCCTGGAGAAGGACATCATGCTTGGTGAAGTAGAAACCAAAACAAAAAACCAAACCTATTGCCATCGAGTCGATTCTGACTCATACTGACCCTATAGGACAGAGTAGAATTTCCCCATAGGGTTTCCAAGTAGGGGCTGTTGGATTCAAACTGCTGACCTTTTGGTTAGCAGCTGAACTCTTAACCACTGCACCACCAGGGCTTGGTAAAGTACAGGGTCAGCAAAAAAGAGGAAGACCCTCAAGGAGATGGATTGACGCAGTGGCTGCAACAATAGGTTCAAACACTGAAACGATTGTGAGGATGGTGTAGGACCAGACAAAGTTTTGTTCTGTTGCACATAGGGTCACCTTGAGTCAGAACTGAATCGATGGCACGTAACAGCAGCAACATAGAAACCAAAGAAAGGATGATATACCTTCCCTGTGGCAACAAGGGTAAGGAATAGTGTTCAGACATATTGGCTTTTTAGATGACTTAATTTACTTTATTGCCATTTCCTTCTTCCTTTTAACCTTGCTGAGACAGAACCCCCACAGTGCTGTATTCTTTACCTGGCTTCCTCCCCTACAGTGTTGTATCGCAAAATCGTTTCCTTTGCTGTGGTCCCTCCCGACCCCCCTCAGCTTTGCATTTGAATCCTGCTTTTGCTTGGAGGTTATACATAACCCCATTGCGCCTGCATAGTATGATTAAGAATGCTGCTGACGTAACTTGTGTGAACTCCCTACTTGTAGACCCCTTTAAAAGTAACCTGCCTGCCCATCCTTGGCGAGCAGTCCTGGCAGCAGTAAGCACTGACTCCATTTCCTTGTACATCAAAATAAAGGTGTCTTTTTGTTCTCCCATTTCAGTCTCTCATTTATTGTCCAACATGAACCATGCCGAGTAAGAACCTGGGGCTTCCACTCCATAACATTGCCAACCACAGAGGTGGCAAACAACGTACACTCATTCATTTGATATACATTTGAGTGTATATATGTCAGGCTCTGGCCTAGGTAAGGATGATGCAAAAAGATGAACTAGACAGAAAACTTGCCCTTGGGAAGTCACATTTTGGTGGAGTCAGACACACTATATTACTGAACACCTACTTCCTACTAGGTACAAGGTGTTGAGGATACAGGAGAGAATACAAAAAAAACCCCAAACCCATGGCCATGAAGTCAATTTCAACTCATGGCGACCCCTACATGCTACAGAGTAGAACTGAGCTCCGTAGGGCTTCCTTGGCTCTAATCTTTACAGAGGAGCTCTGGTGGTATAGTGGTTAAGAGCTTGACTGCTTACCAAAAGGTTGGCAGTTCGAGGCCACCAGGTGTTCCTTGGAGACCCTACTGAGCAGTTCTACTCTGTCCTATAGCAACAGGTTTGGTTTTTCGGTTTGGGATCTTTACAGCTGATCGCCAGACCTTTCTTTCAAGGCACCACTGGTTGGGCTGGAACTGCCAACCTTTCCGTTAGTAGCCAAGCTCAAAGTGTTTGGGCCACCCAGGGACTCTAGGTACTATAGTAAAACCAAAAACCAAACCCGTTGCCACCAAGCCAATTTTGACTCTATAGGACAGAGTAGAACTGCCCGATAGGGTTTCCAAGGAGCTGCTGGTGGATTTTAACTCCTGATCTTTTGGTTAAGAGCTCTTAACCACTGTGCCACCAGGGTTCCAGTACTATATAGATAGTTTTCATTTAATCTTCACCACAATAGTGTGTTAAATGATGTATCAGACACATGCATAGAGAGCTGGAGGGAGGCCCTAAACCTGCCCTGGGAGTCAGAAATAGTTTCACAAAATTAGCTAACACTTCATCTGAGTTTAAAAGGATGTGTAGAAATATACTAGGTACCTCAGAGTTGGTTATAGTAAGAAGCAGGTTCGAAAGGACATTTTTATAGAGAAAAAAGAATAGCAAGTTCAGAGGTAAGAGACACAGATTGCAAACTTCAAGTGGGCTGCGATTTTTGTCTATCTTATGGAGCACAGTTCTACAGACACAGGCTGATCACCATGAATCAGAATCCAATCAATGGCAAGTGGTTTGGGGTTTTTTGGTATTTTCTCCTGTATCCCCCAGCGCCTTCAAAATGTCCGGTACATAATAGGTTCTCAATAAGTAACTGTTGAATGAATACACGGACATCATATGTCTAAGAATGACACGGCCCACAGTTCATTATCTCTGCAAAGGCAGGCAAAGGCCCCATCACGAAGAGAAAACTACACTAAGTGTAAGCTTAAGGCTGACAATGTTGATGATATATCGATAGTATAAGGTCAGGAAGTCACCTGCCCTACCAATAACCCCTTCTTCACCGACGGAGTCCAACGGTGCCGCGCGACTAGGGACAGAATAGTAGGGGTACCAGTTACAGACACTCCAAAGCGGGGATCTCTGACCAAAGCTGGACCAAAGCACATGGTTTGGAAGTCTAAGTGGAGGCTCCTAGTCTCCTCCTTCCACCCCAACCTTCCGCCACTCCACGCCAGGCTTCATAGTTGACTCGCGGAGGACCGGAGACCGCCTCCGGGCCTCCCACCTCCCCACAAGAGGAAACGCCATGCGCGCTCCAGCCCGCCGGCCCACCCTTCCCTTCGGGACACAGACAGAGCGCACGCGCGCCTTCCCCAGCTGAGGGCGTGCCCGCGAGCTTCCCGCATCCCCGTGCTCATCCGGGTCTCAGCGAGCCTCAGCCAATAGTGGCCGCTCACGGCCCCCAGGGGCGGAGCGAAGCCTTCCCTCACATGGGGCCTGTGGTCATCGCTGGGGCCTGTGGGGACGGCGACCAGACGGCCGAGGAAGGAGCCAGAAGCAGGGATCCCAGCATTGGGACGAGCATCTACAGTCTTGAGCGGCTGCTGCCCTCCAGAAGCGATCAAAGCACGAGCAGATTCCCCAGCCAGAGTCGGTGTAGTAAACACACTTCAGAAACGTGAGGTGCCGGGGGTCACGTGGGGAGTGTCCTCGCCAATGAGAAGCCGGGGGCGGGGCCGAGGCCGCTGACGCGGCGGCTGTAGCGGCGGAATCACCCGGGCAGCCTCGGGACTGGTCACCGGCCGGCAGCCGTCCAGCGTCTTCGACCACCGCCTTCGTCCTCCAATCTTCTGTCTCGGGCCGCGAGGCAGCATTCCTGACAGTAGCTGAATCCTCTCATTTCTCTGGGCGACTCACCCGCGGCGGGCCGTTTTCTCCTCGAGGGCAGCCTTGGTGGGGCGAGGTTTCGTGACGAACCTCCTGGGGCCACCGGTGCCTGCTCGGGCCGTCGTGGTGGCTCGAGCTCCTGGAACTTGCTCATCCTTGGGGGGGTCCGAGGCCCTCGAAGTTATGCGTCTCCTCCAGGCGGTTGAGGCCTGCGCCGGGTCCTAAAGGGCGTCACACCCAGGCTGGACAACCTCCATTCATCTTCCAACTGCGACTCCAGCGCCCTCTCCTCACGTCCCCTCCTCGGATTCATTTTTTCCTGTCCCCCCTCTGCCGCCCTTTCCTCACTTCTTGGGTGCGGCGATTCTTCTGGAATCGAAGGTGTCGGCCATGAGCCAGACCTTGGTTTCTTGAATTTCTCTCTGGAGGAACTCGGAGCTGACCCGCCGGCCGCCGGGATGGGGGTGAACGCAGTGCACTGGTTCCGAAAAGGGCTCCGGCTGCACGACAATCCCGCCCTGAAAGAGTGCATTCAAGGCGCAGACACCATCCGCTGCGTCTACATCCTCGACCCCTGGTTCGCTGGCTCCTCTAACGTGGGGATCAACAGGTGGCGGTGAGTCCAAACCCCGAGTTACATTAATGTGTGTTTGGTCAGTCAGGACCTTCTCTGCGATCGGCCAAATCTGAGAAATTTAGCCCTGGCCGCGTCTTGCTTATAACGTTTAAGAACTGTAGGTATTTCATGTAAATGTCCGATGGAATTAACTTGAAGTCTGTTTCTGGCCGGAGAGTGTAGACAACCTGGGACCCCTTGACCTTCAGCTATGAGTTGCGTGTCTGCGCTAATAGCTCTGCCCCTGGATTTATGGAGAATTCTCAGTGGTGGAGTTAAACACTCTTTTCATCCTTAGTGGCCTGTCGGTTGATTTCGTTGCCCTCTGTGTGGCATTCGAAAGTATTGTGGCTTTTAATATTTACGTTTGTGTGTGTGTAGGTAACTCATAATCAAAAAAACCAAACCCGTTGCCATCGAGTCGAATCCGATTTATAGCGACCCTGTAGGGCAGAGTAGAACTGCCCCATAGGGTTACCAAGGAGCACCTGGTGGATTCGAACTGCTGACGTTTTGGTTAGCAACCGAACTCTCAACCACTGCGCCACCAGGGCTCCGCGGTAACTCATAGTATGGAGAAAATCATTCGTTTAAATAGTCGCCTCTCAATCCAGTTTTCTTCCACCTTGAGGTTACTGTAGGAAAAGCAGGGAAGCAGCTTTTTCTGGTTTCCTTTGCTCAGCCGTTCCTCCCAACTCCTCCTTGTGGTTGACTAGACAAAGCACACTTTTTCTTTCTAGGTAAAGTATAATCCTTCTAGGGATCAGACAACTGGGAGGAATCTTAGAGAAGCTTGATGATCTTTTCCTGAAATACCAGGCTAGGTGATTCGTTAGGCTCCCTGGTGGACACGAAATAGTTCATGCAAACAGAGTATAGATCACCTATTAAATGCCAGGGACTGCTTTAAATGCTGACGATATAGCAGTGAGCAAAACAGACAAAAATTTCTGTCCCTTTTGAGCTTATGTCCCAGAAAGTAAAATATACAGTATTTTAGGTGATGGTAAGTGCTGTGGAGAAAAATAGAGCAGAGAAAAGGTAGAAGGAATCCAGGGTTGGGGATGCAATTTAAAATACGATGATCAGAGAAAAACTCACAGAAAAGGTGACATTTGAGCAAACACCTGAAAGAGATGATGAAATATGAATATCTAGGGGGAAGAGAATTCCAGGCAGAGGGAACACTAAGGGCAAAGGCCCTGAGGTGGAAATGTGACCTTTGGAGGAGCAGCAGAGGAAGCCATTATGATTTCAGAACAGAATAAGAGAGGGGGAAAGTAGTAGGAGAAGAAGCCAGAGATGTGATAGGGCCAGACTGAGTAGAAGTTTGTAGGCAGTTGTCAAGATTTGGGCCTTTACTCTGAGTGAAATAGGAATAATTGCAGGGTTAGGAGCAGAAAAGTGATGTGATCTGACTTCAGTTTGAAAACAATTTCTCTGGCCACGGTTCTGAGAATAGACTGAATTGGAGGTGAGGAGGTGGAGGTTGACAAAGAGCAGGGAGACCAGTTAGGAGCTGTTGTTGCATTCATCCAGGTGAGCAAGGTAATGGCTTGGACCATGGTGATAATGGTGGATGTGGTGAGAAGTAGTCAAATACTGGCTCTATTTTTTTTTTTTTTAATTGAACTTTAGATGAAGAGTTACAGAACAAACTAGCTTCTCATTAAAAAGTTAGTACATGTATTGTTTTATGGCATTGATAAACAGCCCCATGACATATCAGTACTCTCTCTTCTCGACCTTGGGTTCCCTATTACTAGCTTTCCTGCCCCCTCCTGCCTTCTAGTCCTTGCCCCTGGGCTGGTGTGCCCCTTTAGTCTCGTTTTGTCCTATGGGTCTATCTAATCTTTGGCTAAAAGGTGTACCTCTGGAGTGACTTCATTACTGGGCTAAAAGGGTGTCCGGGGCCATACTCTCAGGGTTTCTCCAGTCTCTGTTAGGCTAGTAAGTCTAGTCTTTTTTTTTTTTTTTTGAGTTAGAGTTTTGTTCTACATTTTTCTCCTGCTGTGTCCGGGACCTCTATTGTGATCCCTATCAGAACAGTCAGCGGTGATATCCGGGTACCATCTAGTTGTACTGGACTCAGTCTGGTGGAGGCCATAGTAGTTGTGGTCAATTAGTCCTTTGGACTAACCTTTCCCTTGTGTCTTTAGTTTTCTTCATTTTCCCTTGCTCCTGAAGGGGTGAGACCAGTGGTGTATCTTAGATGGCCACTCACAGGCTTAAGACCCCAGACAGTACTCACCAAAGTAGAATGTAGAACATTTTGTTTCTAAGCTATGTTATGTCACTTGCACTAGATGTTCCCTGAGACCATGGTCCCCACAGCCCTCAGCCCAGCAATTCAGTCTCTGTGGGAGTTTGGATTTGTCCATGGAGCTTCCATGACCTTACCCTGAAGAAGTCGTGCTGGCTTCCCCCAAATACTGGCTCTATTTTGAAGGCAGAACCTACAGTATTCATTGCAGATTGTCTCTGTGATGTAAGAGAAAAGAGATGGAGTTAGGAATGATATCTAGATTTTTGGCTTGAGAAACTAAAATGATGGAATTGCGCTTTGTTAAGAAAGAGAAGCCCTTGGGGAGGGTGATTGAAATTTTCTTTTGGACTTGGTTAAGTTTGAGATGCCTATCATATATCTAAGTGGAGATAGCAAATAGGCAGTTGTATATATCTGGAGTTCAGAACAGAGATTCAGGCAAGAGGTATAAAGTGGAAAGTTATCAGTTTATAGACAAATGTAAAGTCATTTATTCATCTATCCATTCATTCAACAAATATTTGGCAAGCACTCATTATATGCCAGGAGCTGTTATACGTGCAGGGGGATTCAGCAGTAAACAAACAAAAGTCCCCACCCTGGTGAAGCTGCGTGCTAGTGTAGCCATTAGACTGTATGAGAGCATTAAGTCTAGATAGAAAAGACAGGAGATCCAAGGACTGAGCCTGGGGTACTGTAATGGTTAAAAATTATGAAGCTGTGAAAGAACGAGCATAGGAGACTGAGAAGGAATAGCTAGTAAGTAAGAAGAAAATCCAGAACAGTTTGGTGTCTTAGAAGTCAAGTAAAGAAAATGTTTCAAGGAAGAATGAGTGTTGTATCTATGTCAGATGCTGCTTATAGGTCAAGTAAGATGAGGACTGAAAATTAAAAGTTGGATATAATATTTTCGGTCATTTGTAATCTTGTCTAGAGTGATTTCAGTAGTATCAGAGGTGAAAGCCTTTTTGGAGTAATAGCTCAAGAGAGGCAGGGAGGAGAGGAGTTGGAGACAACTTACATAGACAACTCTTTCAAGGAGTTTTGCTATAAGAGAATCAGAGAAATGGTGGGGGGCAGTGTGAAGTCAAGAGGAGTTTTTTAAATGAGAGCGATTACAGTATGTTTGTGTGCTGATGGGAATGAAACAGCAACTATATGTACAACAATTTTTCATTAGCAGAAATTATGTCATTAAACGGTGATCCTGGAAAAAGATGATAAAAGTAATATATTGTAATGTATTGATATCTTACAATAATAATTCCCTTCTCATAAGGTTGTTCTGAAGATAAATTGGTTAACATAGGTAAAATGCTTAAAATAGTGAGTGGTAGTAGTAGCTAGTGCTTGTTTACTTTTTGCTATTAAGTTAGAAGCCATAGGTAAATAATATCTGCTTAAATGCCTGCTGTCAGTTTCTTCTAGAGCAATTTATAAGTTTATAGAATCCAGACTGTAAGCTTCTGTAGGATAGGGATTATAGCTTGCTTACCTTTGTACACTCAGCAGTTAACATTGTCAAATAATAAATGAATTGAAACTGGTAACCACAACAAGAATAGCCCCATATTTCCTTTTTAAAAATGATCTTTTTTTAAGTAGTATATATTGTCCATTCTAAAAGATAGGTGAAGATGTAAGTAATGAACAGAGACAGTTTTCTTCCTCTGAAGACTAAGTTCTAAAAAGGCAGGGACTAAGTTTAATTCAATCTGTTTTCATAGTACCAAATTCAGTGCTTTTCATATAATAGTAGTTCACTTACTGGTTGTTGAATGAAGTGACATCTTGGAGTCAATAATTTCATATTTAAACAACTGTATTACTTTCCCTGTTGACTATAGGATAAAGCCCAAACTCCTTACCCTGGCATTTAAGATCTTTTGACCTATGTATCTCATCTCCTGCTGAGATGTGATCTCAGCACTGAGAGGGAGGGGGAGTGATGGTAGTTTTCCTTGAGGGCAGTGGTAGTTCAGTGGTAGAATTTTTCACCTTGCATACTTCCAGACCCAGGTTCAATTCCTGGCCAGTCCATCTCAAGCACAACCACCACCTTCTCTACTTCCATTTTTGCTTGCATGTTGCTATGAAGGTATCTTGCATGTTTCTATCTTCTTTCCTTTGCTCATGCCATTTCATTCAATCAACTGTGTTTCTTATATTTTTGATTTAACAGAAAAGCAAAAAAAAAAAAAAAGAAAAGAAAATTGCCTGTTAAGTACATTAACAAATTACTTTTTGCTATTGCCATCATTTCATTTAAAAAGAATGGTTTAACATTAAAAAAATTTTTGAAAGAACATTGTCACAGAATAAAGGACAGTCTTTTGACTTGAAGAAATTTAGCTTTATGACAACTCATCTGATCTTTGGGATCGAATGATTTAAAATATTTCAGTTCTTTCCTTTACTTGTCTCCTGTTAAAATTCTGCCACGCAAACACTTGAACACAAATGTTCATAGCAGCTTTATTCATAATAGCCAAAAGGTGGAAATGACCTAAATGCCCATCAATTAATGAATGGATAAACAAAATGTGGTATATACATTCAGTAGAATATTATTTGGCCATAAAAAGGAATGAAGTACTGATAGATGTTACAACATGAATAAACCTTGAAAACATTATGCTGAGTGAAAGAAGCCAGTCACAAAACACGTATTATATGATTCCATTTATGTGAAATGTCCAGAATGGGCAAATATAGAAAGACAGAAAGTAGATTA